TCAACCCTTCATCTGTTCAAAAAAATTTTCATTTCTATTTTTTTTTTAACGTCACCTCCCCGTTTTTTAGATTTTTAATGCTCATCATTTCCGGGGGGAAGGGGGGGGGTTTTTCTCGCTAGGACTCAAAAACCACCCATTAAAACTCGTCTCATTTAACTCTCCCCCTCCAGGGTTTTTAAATTTTGGGTGCAAAACCCTTTTTTGGACCTCAAACTCACAAAAAATTTTTGCAAATTAATCTCTGGTTGTAGATAAAAGGTTCAAGAACAGACATGTTGAAAAATTTAAAAGAGTTGCACATGTTCAAATTTATCAACATGTGGGTTCTCTGAACCATTCATTTTAACAAACCTGTCAGACACGGGGCAACTTTTTGGAAACCTTAAAAATTGGGGAATTCTTCGCTGCCTATTCTTGGGCACGACCTACTTTCCCAAAAAAATTGAACAAATGTGACACCACCTACGACTGCTGCACCCCTCCTGGCACGGGTTTAAAAAAGCTCCTTCTCCCACGGGACCCTATTCTATTCCCAAATTTATGGCTGACCCAAAACGACCCCAAGGTTGGGGGGACTGGGTTACCTCATCCCCCCCCTGTTCTTCAAATTTTCCCCTTTGGGAGGGGCTGTTGAAACCCCCTGTGTGGGGAAAAAGTTTCCCTCAATAAAAATACCCAAAGTTTTCATTGCTGATTTTCCCGTTTTCTCTTCCTCCACTGAAATTGACTTTAAACCTTGCCTGTGGGCCCCCGTTTTTCAAAGACAACACATTTTCCTGTTTTTCCCTTTCTACCTATTTGTAAATTTCCCCCTTTCCCCAAAGCTCACGTTTTTTAGTAAAAAGAGCGAAAAAGGGACCTGTAAAACCCCAATCAAATTGTTTTTAGTAAGGAAACTTCTTAGGGCCTCTACTGACGAGCTGTTAAACCCTTTTTTTTAATTTTTTTTTAACCGCGGCTTCACTTTTTGATCCTGAAACTTGAGCAGGCAATCTGAAATCGTGCCTTGTTGGGCTCCCGCTTATGGTTTTGCATTTTTTTTTTTTAAAATTGCAAATATGGGAAAACCGTTATTAAAAAGGCCTACAGGGGAGACTATTTTTAGCGGGTAAACGATCCCCCCGACCTATCATGAAGCCCAAACGCACTTCTGGGGGGGGGGGGGTGGGAAGGGGGTTTTTTTATACTGTTAGTCGGTTCCCCCTATGAATGCAGTTTGGGAAGGGAAAATATCGGTAACCCATTCTTTGGGTTTCCCATATCGGCAAATTTTAAGCCTTCCCTTTAAGTGCCGCAGAGACTGGAAAACCCCTTGTTCCCCTAAACTCTTAAGGGCCCCATTATGCCCCCTCGTTTTTTTTCTTTCTTCCAATTTTTTTCCAGAGAGTTAATGACCTTGGATTTTTCCCAAATAGCAGAGCAGGGTCCCTTTTGTGCCTTTTACACTTCGGAACTGAAGTCAACACCCGCTTTCCGGGCATCGGGGAGCTGGGGTTTGCCCTTAAAATTTTTGAAAGCTTCAGCATTTAAAAACCGTAAGGGCCCCTTTCGGGCCCCCCAATGTCTTTTAAAAATAATTGGGGCGCAAGGATTCTTTCCCCCCGCCAAGGAAATTTTTATTGTTTTTGGCCTTTTTTAAACCAGGTACTTGGAGACATGATCTTCAAAACTTCGTCCCTTACTTTTTACCATGCCGTTTTTTAAGGTTTATAGAAAATTCTGGTAAATAAAAAGTTTTTATGTAATTTTTGGTTTAAAAAAAATCTCCTAGTAAGGGCTTTTTTAGTAAACCCCCGGCCTCTCTTGATTTTTGAAAAAAGGGAAAATGACACTACTTTGGGGATGTAACATCTAGGTCCAAGCCAAAATCCCCTTTGGCCCCCGAGGGAAAACTGCCAATTTTTTTCCCAAAATTATCTAGTTAATTCCTTTTTCTCGGGCCTTTTTCAAAGTTGAAGGTTCCCCCCCCAATGTATGGGCCTTACGCCCTTTTTTTTTTTTTTTTTCCTCTTAAATTTTTGGCATCTGTTCTCTCGTCTAATATTTGGTCAATTTTGATATGAAATTGGGTTTTAAAATTTTTCAGGGGGGCTTTACCCGTTTTCCCCCCTAGCAGCCTCCTTTTAAAATCTGTTTAACTGTTTCCCATTGGGGCCTCTATGGGGTTAAAAAATTTTTTGTGCTAAAAAAGCACCCAAATTAATTTCCCCCCAGACATTTTAAGCGTCCCGATACTCCATTGTACCTGTAGGCCCCGCTATCCCTGAAAGTGATACGGTCCCGATTTTCTCGGCCCTTTGGGTTTTTTGCCGGGTTTTTCCCGGAAATCTCCATTACCTTCATGAAAGTGACTTTTCCATAGCCAGATGAACCTTCTTAAAAAACCCTCACTCATCTTTCATAGGAGGCGATCGTAGAACGCCCTTTGCCTACAATTTAACCCTAATTTTAAAACAAAAATCGATTATGGCGAAACCCGAAAGGGATTCGATGACCCTCGTCATCTCTTTTAGCCTTTTAATCCCATCCATCACCAGGGATTACGTTTATGCCTCGGTGCTTTTCGCTCTTCACCAGTTGAGAGCCTCTATGCAGAAGCGAATATTCCATCCTTGTCCGATCGCCGTGATGCTCATTGCCTTCGCTGTTATATTCTTTCTCGTCCATTGAAAGCTGCTACTGTTCTGCCCTTTTATAAGCCAGGATCATTATGCCTCCCAATATCGACTCATTGCTCTTACTAATCTAGTTTGCAAGTTGTTAGAACTTGCTAACGGATATTTACCCCTCTACTTGCCAATTTTGCTTTACTCCGTTTTAATACCTGTTTCCGTAAATGCCTTCGCTAGTAAACACTTGGTTACTGCAGCCTATTTTTTTTTTTCAATCTCGAGAAGTGTATGACACAACATAGTGATACAACATCTTGGCTCTAGCTGATTTCTTAGGCCTTCGAGGGAATTTGCCGCTTTTTCTTCAGAATTTCGCATCCTAGATGTGTCCGGGTTATTGTGTTTTCCTTTGACTCCAGACTGAAGACGTCCCTCAGAGTTGTTCTTAGTACCACTTTTTTTTTATCTATTGTATCAATGACCTGCCTCTGTTCTCCCTTCTAATATTTATTCATCTCTTTGTAATCTTGTACTCCCCACTATCCTTACTGACTTTGCCTTTTGCATACTCCTAGCCCTCACTGGTTACTGATCTTCTCATATTCATTCTATAGCACGTCCCACCCTATGGTGCTGTATGACCTTTACGGGTTCAGCGCTTAGTAATGATAATGTACGTATTGATAATACAGTTGAGAATACTTTATCCGAAATGCTTGGGACCGGAAGTGTTTTGGATTTAGATTTTTTATGGATTTTGTAATATATATTTGCGAAACTAATCAGAAATGATGTCCCTGGTGATCCATAACGTTTTCTTAGCATAATAATGGGCCGTTAAGGTATTCACACCTTTAAAATAGCGAGGACGCAAGCTTTGCCTACCACAACAAGTTTACACTTAATGTGACTGCTGCATTAGCACATCCCAGCACAGTTACATTCTTGGCATCTTGAACTCCTGTAGGAACTCTTATCAGCTATAGTCGATGTTTTTCTTTTTCAGTAAGACCAGAACAATGATGTGTCATCAGCATTTTAGACTTGCTGTTAATTTTCATCAACAATAATCTTGGCAGACACATCAATGAATTTCTCTTTTGCTTCGTGATCAACAGATGGTTTATCACCATTAATTGTTAAACACTTAATGCCGCGTATTTTTCATAAATTTTTGTAACTAGTATTCTGAATATTGTCACTTACAATATTCAGTTATTAATGATAGATTTTTGCATGTTTCACTATCAGCATTCCGTTAAGGGCCATGTGATCACTTCGACGCTGACCAATCCACTCCATCAATACACGAAAGAAATCTTAATTTTTTCCCCTCTATGGATTTTTTTCTATTTTATCATTAACTTCTATTTATCACTTTCTGCAGAGAACCTCAATTTGTTCTTCCGTTTCTTCAGGTGGTAGACAGTGGTTGTTGCAACACCAGACTCGTCAGTCAGGTGGTAGACAGTGGTTGTTGCAACACCAGACTCGTCAGTCAGGTGGTAGACAGTGGTTGTTGCAACACCAGACTCGTCAGTCAGGTGGTAGACAGTGGTTGTTGCAACACCAGACTCGTCAGTCGGGTGGTAGACAGTGGTTGTTGCAACACCAGACTCGTCAGTCAGGTGGGAGACAGTGGTTGTTGCAACACCAGACTCGTCAGTCGGGTGGTAGACAGTGGTTGTTGCAACACCAGACTCGTCAGTCGGGTGGTAGACAGTGGTTGCAACACCAGACTCGTCAGTCAGGTGGTAGACAGTGGTTGTTGCAACACCAGACTCGTCAGTCAGGTGGGAGACAGTGGTTGTTGCAACACCAGACTCGTCAGTCGGGTGGTACAGTAGTTGTTGCAACACCAGACTCGTCAGTCAGGTGGTAGACAGTGGTTGTTGCAACACCAGACTCGTCAGTCAGACGCTTCGCACTTGCACCAAAGTTTTTCCGACAAACTTACTTCGTTATATAAACATCGGTCCTTCCTCTTTCTTTTCACTGTTATCTATGAACTTTTTGGACATTTTTAAATATCTTCACACCACAGAGCACAAAATATGTGATAGTCAGTGAGTAATTGTTGATGCTTGATCACGTCTTGCACTGAATGATGCACATGTTGAACATCATGTCAACACTCGGATTTTGGAGGTTTTGTATTTTGGAATTTCAGATAAAGGATTCTCTACTGTATTATTTGTAGTGCTCGATACTCTATAATATAACTCACTACTTCGTTTCTTTTTCAATGATACTGTTGACAGGGATGAAAATTTTCAAAATTCTTTACAGTAACTTTTGAAGCTGAGAAATATTGCACAATGTTTGTTCTTAAAAGATATAATTATACATTATATTCTAACAACGTTAATTATAAACTTTATTAAGCACAGGTGTGAAGGTGGGAGTGAAGGTACTACGTGGAGGGAGGGCGGCGGCCTCTTCACAGAGAGAAGCCCACGCACTCTCGCTACCTCCCCACGCCCACCTGGCCTCCACCCACGCCCTCGTCACGCCCTCCACCACCACTGGCTATGCTTGCATCACCTGGGGTGTTACTTGCCTCAACAATATTAAAGAGAAAGTAAGTATGCTATTGTTACTTTTTATTGTACAAGTGCTATTGTATACCATAAGTAATTTCTCCATTTTATTTTTGATTTATAAAGGCATAGAGAAATAAAAGTTGAACAGCAGCTACCTAGGAACGTGTCAGAACAACTTTAACACTCCAGCAGGATGGCTGGTCTTCCCACCATTATTTTATATATTAAAACACGTGCTAATTCTTACTGATTAGTTTTTTTCATATGTCTAAATTTTTTATTGTAAAATTTCGTGCATTATGATAGCGTTATAGAATAGGAAAATGACGTTAATTATATGTAAAAATTTATATAGAGCTCTCAGTGGCAAGGTAAATTATTATTCGCCAGAACCAAATCGTATCCTACGAGGCTGCGGCGGCAATGTTTTCTCTTCCTGTGGAGGATGTTGTCAGGTGGGCGGGTGATGCGCGGGAGGAGCATGGCGGGAGGCCTGGGTAGGCGTGGGTGGTGAGTGAACTGTGCACGCCTCTCACACTGCTGACACTCATCAACCAACCTGACTACGAACTCACCATCCGGACAAAAATCAGGTGGATTCACTGGACACAAGTGGTAGCCATTGTAGCTGTTTTGTATTTACTATAAATCTGTGTATTTTAATCCACTTTATAGTTATGACGCCGCATATTAATGTGCTTTAATCATTATTATGGATTACAGTAATATCCTGCGTTGAGCCTCAGTGTGAATACTGATCTCAGATCCAGTTTGTTAAAATATACTGGTAAGTTATATGGTATGCTCAATAATCGACATGGAGACATAAACTAGGAAGATCAATTGATCTATGTTGCATAATCTATAATATTCATGTTAAATATCAAAATGGTGTAAAATACCGACAAGTTGGTAAGTAAGACACATTGGCAACGTTTAGGCATCTTTATTCCGAAACGTTTCTCCTATGTCCTGGAATTTCTATTGATAAAGCCATTGGATGGCGAAACGTCTACAATAAAGATACCCAGATGTTGCACGTGTCTTAATTTCATCAGGCTTCTTCAGTCGAGTACAGAAAATAGGCAGGAGCAGTAGAGATTTGAAGACAATGTAATCAGTTCCTCACCCTTGAAAGATGTAGATTTGAGGTTCAGTCCCTCAGCCTGGAGAAGAATTCTGTTTCATAGTCTGAAACCATATGAAGAACAAGCGACAATGTGGAGACATATATACTGTCCGAAGGAGAGGTGTATAGTAGTAGAAGAATGTAATTACTGAGAGGTCACGTCCATCTCAGATCCAACCATTCTCTCATGAAGTTGTCGAAGGTTTATTCTCCTCTGTGCCAAGATGCCACTGTGTTGGTGTCTGACAGTGAATATCAAAATGGTATACAATACCGACAAATCTACAACTTCAAGGGTGATGGACTGATTACATCATCTTCACATCTCTACTGCTTCTGCCTACTTTTGTACTCGGCTGAAGAAGTCTTCTGTGTAGGCGAAACGTTTCGGAATAGATATACCTAAATGTTGCATATGTGTCTAACTTACGAATATTCATGTTGTTCAAACAGATATTAAAGCTACTTCACAAGAAATACACCTTTGTAATAATGTAAATTTATAGGAAATGTATAAGTGTGTCAGCGTGTCAGCGTGCCTCGTTGTGCTCCGGGTTATCTCGTGTTTTCACGGTCGCTCTTACGTGCTAGAACTTTAATTTGTGTCATCAATCCTATACGATACATCCCTCTAGCGCCTGGAACCAATCTTGGGCGGAAAACATTATATACTGAGTCAAAAAAGGAAAATTAGTGTGCACTACCTAGCAGAGTTTACTGCCAGAGGGGAATCATAGGCCTGTGTCCCGTGTGGAAAAAAATAATAATAATTGAACTTTTCGTGTCAGAGGAAAGAAAGTCTCCCTGATAACATTGAGTATACATAGTGTATAGTGTATACTACAGTGGCTCCCTAGTATATTGATGATAAAGGCTAAAGTGTCATTTGAAAACAGGTGAATTTGTAAATGAAGTGATAAGCCTATAGAGGCAGGTGCCAGAAGTCGCCAGAAACTTACCACAGGTCAGCTGTTTTTAATAATCTTCCTGGCTTGCTAGTGTACTCGCATATAATCTAGTGATACCAGTGAATAGCAGAATACAGTGTTGTAGTAGCAACTAACCAGTATTATAATGGTACTTAGTGGAGTGGAGTGACTTTCATTAGTTTCTTTTTCTTGAAATACGAGACGTTACTGTGAATTTCATATAACCTGTAGTTACCAGCGGTCGCAATATACACAACGAGAAGCAATTATTACTACTACAGAAAAAGCATCCTTCCTCCAAAAATTTGCACCAGTCAACTATAGTGATAATATAGCATTTATTGTGGTGGAGACGGGAAAAAAAAAAAAATAGAAAAGCCAGATACAGCGATTGATAAACAAGGGTTGAGGTCGACCGTTCGTCATTGTAGGAGCTGCCAGATATCACCGGCTCTTCAACACGCAAGTTATACTTTTGTATCAGTCAAATCACATATTACACGAGTAGATAATTTCCAGTAGATCCTTCATGTGTTAGCTCAAATCACCGACCAGTATGTTTTAAATAAGTGACCCACTGATCAGAGCAGATCGACTGGTCCGAACCCTTGACTGGTCCGAACCCTTGACTGGTCCGAACCCCTGGGACTGGTTTCAAACAGTTTCGTTGGACAATAAAGCAGACTGTAAACGGATGGGGTTGTAGGCGCCCTTATAAACACAAACATTAAAAATCAGGAACGTGACGGTAAGCTGTCCAATATACAAAAAGAGTTAGAAACAGAAATACAAATAGCTAGAGCTTCATTTAAGGTTATTAATATAATATTCAAGAGGTTGCAGTAGAATTGCAGTAAATCAACCATTCAAATCATTATGAAGCTGTGTGTAGTCTGTGGTCAGTCAAACAAACGGGCTTCCACATGGATAAATTGTCATTTTTGTGGAAATTGGTGTCACGCTCCTTGTGCAGATATCCCAGAACTAGCTACAAGCAGTATTAAAACAGAGAAGTGTTTTTGGGTATGCCCAAATGAGGAAAATCTGTGGACTAAAATCACAAGGGTATTAAAAGAGGACAACATCAAAGCTGCTTTCATAGAAAACCTGGGAAACTTTCTACAACAGATGGGAACAAAAAAAGTCTGGGCTGAATGGTACTGCCCTTGATACTGGCCATGTAGTCACAAACTGTAAGGCTGGAGGTGATGTCCTGGTAGTCAGTAAATGTGGGGCTGATAGTGCTGTCCTTGGAGACAGTAATGGTGAAGCTGGAGGTGCTGTCCTGGGAGACAGTAATGGTGAAGCTGGAGATTTTGTCCAGGTAGTCGGGAATTATACGTAGGAAGGAATACATATAAATGACCTCATAGGGGACAGGAGCCATAGTAGGGAAACAAGTGTAGTCAAAGATAAGATAAAACCAATATTGCAAACTAGAAATACCGCAGGAAATAGCAAACAAGAGGACTCCAATAGCAATAGTGAGGGTAAATTACCAAAAACAACTGGTGGGAGCTCCATTGTTGGTGCTAGGGAGGATAGAAGTAAGACAGGGAAACATGCACCAACAGGGAATACAGTCACAGAAACCCAAGGCAAGCGGAAACCAAGCCTGTGCACATACTATGCACTAGGTATCTGCTGGCATGGGAAATCTGGAAAAACAGATGGGACATGCAACTATGACCACCCTAGAAAATGCCATGCCCATATGACAACAGGAAAATGCAAACTCCCTTCCTGTAAGCTTTTTCACCCTGAAATGTGTACCTGTTCAGTACAGGAAAGACTGTGCTATAACTTAAATTGCCAGGCATATCATCTAAAGGGGACAAAAAGATACAAAACATCCACGCCATGGGAAAACCTGGGTAGCCACAGCCACTCAAGAGGGAGAGGTTTTTTAGTGCCAGGAAGGAAAAAAAACTGGCAGGAAATGGCAGAAATCGTACACCAAATCCAGTCATTCCTGAGTGGAACCACAGTCGATGGCCTCCACTCCAAACCAACAGATACAGATACAATGCCGGAAAAAAAATCCCCCCCCAGTAACAACAAACCAAACCCGTCCGATAAAAATTCTTCTTTTCAATACCCCAGAATACTACCTTGGGAACACCACATGTTATCGGCAGGGTTCTGATTCTGTTTTGTTTGATTTTTGGACATATATGTTCCCTGTTGCAACAGGGTATGACTTAAACCAGTCTACAGAACCTATAACCGATAGCTTGAAGTTTATTACAAAATATAATTTTGTTACAGTACGAAATGGCCTTTTGCAGGTCTAAAGGTTACCATAACCAATGATGTTTCCCCTTTGAACATATCAGATCTCAGGTATTCCATCAGATTAATAAGGGGAGGTGTCGGTTGAGTAATCTTCTAAAACGCCCCGAATGATAGCTTATGGAGAATGTTGTTGCATTAAGGTACTTAATTCTATTGAGAATAACCAGCCTCTCTTAAGAATTTTAGATATTATTCCGAGTAACCTAACAGCATATAGTTGCTTACATCAGATCCGACTATTTTTTCTTGAGTAGTGAGGTACCACTGGCCACCTTGAACCCCACCGTATGCGGTAATTAGTGGTGATTGAATAGATTTTATTATGTGAGCAAAGGGATTGACATTCAGAAGAACCATCTTTAGGAACTTAACGGGATGGTTATCCATGGCCTGTTCACTTATTGGTTTAACTCTTCTTAGGTTTGTTTTTTGAATACATTCAACAAAAATGGGGAAAGATCACACTTACTAGTTGACAACTATTTGGGGTAACCCCTTTTTTTGGTATAAGAATGTTTGGAAATCTTAATCAGGTCTGGTTAAAGTTATTTGATACAGCTGGTATTTTACCTTAAGAAGTATAACTACGAAAATGTTGGTCTCTGAAGTTATAGAAGCCCATTATTTTGTTCGGCGCCTCTGCTTACTCAGACCATTTACTCTTGTCTTGGCTCACCTCTCCATCCTTCTCTTCATCTGCCTCCATGAATTTTCTTTTAGTGTCTGCTTTTTTCCCTTATCTTCATTGGAGGTTCCAACATTATATATGTGCACCAAAGCTCTCCTACTATGACTACTACCCGCACTTTTCTTGACACTTCCTGGTCGCCTGCTCATTCCGTCACAGTTTATACAGAAGGTTCAAAATCTTCTGATGGCGTTCGGACGATGTTGTCCGAGTCATATGTTAGACTCTCGCTAGTAATTTTTACCCCAGAGTTGTAAGCATCCTCATGCACCTCTCCGTATTATATATGTGTGTGTGTGTATCCTTTGACGTTTGTGATCATTTTCAGATTCCCCGCAGAGCTTTACAAGCCATTCAACAACTTGATTTCCTCTCACTTGGTCCTTTTCTATTCAACTATAGATTGCGCCATTAGCTAGCAAAAACAAAAACGTCGTTTTCTGTTTGGCCCCCCTGGACACGATGATGTTCATGCAATTGAACAGGTGGATGCTGCTGCACAGTCCAATTGAGGTATCCGTTCAGGATTAATTTACAGTCATCTAATACCCGTTTTTGATGGTGTTTGCAACAACGGTTTACCATACATCACCATAACAAAGTGCACTACTATAAAGGCTTTTAGGTTTGTGCCATCTTACACACCATTGCCAAAGCCTGGGAAAACATTCACTTTTCCCGTCCACCATCGCCATACCCACCTTCAACACCCATTGGGTACAAACAAGAACAAATGGAACAAAACACCTTTTCTTCTCTTGAGGTTTGTCAGGTTCCTATAACGTTCTTCACGTTCATGTTGATTGCCCGTTAACCAGTAAACACACAAGATTACCCAAGGGGTGGGGGGGGGGGGGG